AAATATATATATTTAATAAGTATTATTATTATTATTATTTTTTTTTTTACAGAACTTTAAAATTACAAAGCTAATATTTATTGCCGTCTTAAATTCTTTGCATTCAAACATCATGCCACGGAGCTTTTATTTTGGCAGAAATCTACAAAAGCTCCTCTTTTGTAGACAGCAGATTTATTTAATGAGATTCTCATTACGAAACAGCGGTTTTTGATGTACAAGTTTGCATTGCAGGTGATTTTAATCAGTCTGAAAAAGAAACTAAAGCCAAGCTGAAACAGGACGGTTTTGTTTGCCAGGATTAGTGTCATCAAATCTTCAAAAGATGCTTTTTTTGATGCACTTTTCAACAAGTAAACTAGATTAAGCCCACGAGTTCGGTTACATCTGTGAAATAAGTGCAGAAACACACGCAGCAGCTCATCTGACTAAAAAAATGTGCAGAACTTCCGGACAGCTGTTGCTTAGCTACCGCCAAACAGTCAAACAATGGAAACCAGGATTCCTCACGGAACATCCCGCTAATATTCCAAAGATCCAGGCCAAGAATCGCCACAAAGCCCTACTCAAAGTCAAGATGCTGAGAGATACGTACGCTTTCTTGAGCTCGGAGAGTTTGGCGGTGAGGCCGGCGATCTCGCCCATGCTGCGCAGGATATCCTCTCGCTCCTTGGGATCTTCGCAGAGATCCGCGATCTTCCTGGCTTCTCCCAGAAGAGCCCTGATGTTCCCCTCTCCCTCCGGACCGCCGTGAGGATCCGCCAGCCAGCTCTGCCGTTCACAAAACACGAACGGTGTTCAGAACGCTGCTTAGACAGCTGTGTGATTCATCCAGACAAGGCAGCAGGCTCACCTGAGCGGCGTCGGTTCTCTTGGCGATGGCTTGTTTCGAGCCGGTCATGGCCTCCAATTTACGTGCCGCATTTTCCACTTTCCCCGTCAGGACGTCCAGACCCTGAGACACCTGCTGCGCTTTCTGCATGGCCACCGGACTCGCTCCCTGACCCCTGCGCAGGACACACACGTCAAACACAACGAAAAACACCTCACGCATCCCAAATATGATCAAGCTTTCATACCAGCAAGCTTCAAGAAAACAGACAATTGTGGATGAACTTCTGGTTTTGTGTCACTGATGTTATTCCTTCTACACCACTATCAGGACCGGATGTAATCAAATTGCTTTAAACATGCAGCATACAATTTAAATTGTATAAAAATATGAAATATAAATATTTTAATATTATTTTGACATATACACAAAAATATTTAAACATAACTACTTTTAGTATTATTTTTGAAATGCAATATTTAAACAAATATTTTTAATATATAAATAATTATTTTTAATATTATTATTAATACAAAATATATACACAAATTTTATATATAAATTTTACTAAAACTGTTTAAATGTAAATTATGTAAATTATGTTTGATAATCAAATATTTTTTAATATTATCCTTGACAATCAAAATATTTAATTCTATAAATATTTTTGTATTATTTCTGTAAAAAAACAAAAAAATATTTGTATATAATTTTGATAAACAATACGTAAACATTTGTTTAAATATTATTTATGATAAAAATACTTAAATATATTTAATATTATTTTATTAAATATTTTAGATATTTTTGCCAAAAAACTTTTTAATGTAAATATTTTTATATTATCTTTGATAAACAAACTACTTCAAGATAACTATTTTTATATTATTTTTTATTTAAATATTTAGACATACATTTACTATTGTTTGCTAAAAAAATTTATTGTAAATATTTTTAATATTATATCTGATAAACAATATAAAAATCACAATTTTCAATATTTTTGATTAAAATATGAAAACATTTTTAATATTATCTTTTTAAAATAAAAATACTTAATTGTAAATAATTGTAGTATTACTTTTGTAAAAAACACAAATGTTTTGAATATAATTCATCATAAACAATATTTAAAAGTAAATTTTTTATTTAAAAAAATTTCAAGCATACATTTTTTATATTATTTTTAATTAAAAAGTCAAGATTTAGACGAGTAGCACAGCAATTTCCCAGCAGAGATGGAAAATGGGGTTTAAGAGGATTATGGGTAATATTAGTCAGCTGCTTTTAATCAGACGACCGGGAGAAAACCTGATGTGATCTGTAACTATGAGTCAGGTTTTCTCGGATCTAAGCTGTCCTTTTGGGTGACTAATCACTGAAAGTGCTCAACCTACATGGACATTTTAATTATATTGTATATAATGTTTATAAATGTATATATAAATACATTAATCATTACACCATCGCCACAATACATATATATTTTACATTCATATGTATACAAATATATTTCAACCTTGGTTTAAAAAAAAAAATAAAATAAAAAATAAAAATAAAATAAAATAAAATAAAACAAAACAAAATAAAATAAAACAAAATAAAAAATAATAAAAAATAAAATAATAAACTAAACTAAACTAAACTAAAATAATAGCTGTAAATCAGAATGACATATCTGGATTTTAATACCTGGCCCGCAGCTCGGACACCTGCTCAGTAAGTTGTCCAAGCGTTTTGGCCGTTCCCACGATGTCTCGTCTCTCCTTCCCAGCGCAGAGTTCGCCAACTTTTCCCGCCTCGTCCAGGATCTGGCGAATGGCTTGTTCGCCCGGGTCACCTGCGACGACACAGCATCAGCAAACAGCCATCTGTGACTCTCAACATCTTTTTTCTCATCCGATTATTTGAGCACACATTTTTCCTTAAAGTACCTGGCTGGCTGTGCGGGTCTCGGAGCCAGTTCTTGGCTTGGGCCATTTTGGAGTCGATCAGAGCCAGCGCTCTCTTCATAGCCTCTGTGTCCTGCAAACCACGTCCACAACATCAAACACACAGTCCTGCATCAGATTAACACAACAGACACCTTACATCTGACATCGGGACGTGCTGATGATGTTCTGTATCATGTGTGTGTGTGTGTGTGTGTGTGTGTGGAGTTATTTTGTCAGTTGTCTGTGTGATTTATTAATAGATACGACCTCGGTGAACTTCTCAGTCTGCATTCATACACAAATCCCATATTTTTCACAGATTATAACATTATAAGAAATTATAACATTATAATAACATTACAAGAAATTATAATTATATATTAAAAAATTTATTTAAAGTCTGCATTCATAAACAAATTTGATATTTTCCACTTTAATGTGACAAATCTGTATTTGAGTGAAATATCAGAATGAATCTAATATTTTAAATTCTGAACTGATGTGACTTCAGTCAGATCACAGTTAATGTAATTTTTATGTCAATTTAGCTCGACATTTGTCATAATTCTGTGCTTTTCTTATCCTTAGTATGAAGATGATAGAGAATGGCCAGTGACAAGTGTCTTATATTTTTATGTTATACATATAATCTCTAATAATCTACAAATAATCTACTAGAAACTCGATTTATTAAAAAAAAAA